TAGGAAAAGTGTTTGTCAACCGTATTCGCTTCAACAGCGCGATCCCAGAACCATGCAGCTAACCTTGTTATGGATTGTGAGATTATAGAAAGCTCGCACAAGCCCACAAGTTGCCTGAATTTGGAAAATAAATTTGGAAATATGTTTTCAGAGATCTTGTCTGGATCGATAGGAGTTTACTTCTCTGACGTTTTGAAATAAACAGACGTGCAGAAATACAAAAACTAAAACAGCAGATTAAATTTTAACCCAGGGTTAGCGCTAACCCACCTCCCTCGATTTCGTAATTATACAGGGACACGCTAAATTACATTCGCCATGTCGAGTTTGTCAACCATAAATATCATTGCATGTTTGAATAAAACCATGCATGACCTTTGCCTTACTCGTCCTTCCACTCCAAGAAAGCTGAATTGTGAAAGTAGCTTGACCGCAGTGGGAACATGGCCTGTGCATGTGGGTACAGATCAGTGGTGGGGACACTCAGAGTATTAAACATCAGCCAAAACATTACCTGCATGCTGATATTTTCAGGCCGTTTAGCCATATACCATTTAGCCATATATATAGAGAAAGTGTCAGGATTTGGAGGATTTACTATATATTTTTAGACATTCTTCAGTATTCTAAATTATTTTGAAAACCTCAGTTTCTATTGTCTACCCCTTTGAATTTCCAGTTGAAGAAGTTAATCTATGGATTTAATTTGTCTTTTACTCGCTGGAGCTCTTGGCTGATATGACAACCTTTTGTAAAACTTTATTGAAATTATATCTGAGTAGGCGAAAGACATGCTGCTGTAGAACTGAATATTAAATAAAACTCGCCCCTGGCCGTTACTTAATTCAAAAGCATGTAATCCAATAAAACTAACAAACGTCTCTTACGTCATAACGGAAATATCTCAATTAGATAGTCGTCCTAGGTGAATTATTACTGGTTATTCCGATGAACGATATTGTAATCTAATTTCAATCAACATGTTTGTGCTACGTTCATGCTGGGAAATGTAACAAAAAATATTCAGATTTTAATATCGTTGCCTGGATATCTTAGTAGCAAGCAATAAACATGTTCGTGCCCACAATGAACAAAGAAAATACGTTTTTATTTGTGTATTTCGCATGGCAATTACTGAATAGAAAACAGTTTTAAGGAAAATGCAAAAATAAAACCATTGGGCAAAATTAAGAAAATTTTCTTGATTTTAGAAAATTTTGATTTAAGCGAGGTTTATTAATGTGAAGAATATACAAAATTCAAAGTATAAATGTTATACGTAAAGATTAAGGGAAATGAATTTCGTAAACAATTCCACTTTCATATTGATATAATATGCTTCCTCTTCACCTATATACAGCACACAGCCACAGGGAAAATCTATACTTACAGTTACAATATTTTTGACAAATGACACAATGAAGGGTATTCTTACTCCTCGATGGACTCGAAAAAAATGTAATGTCTAATGACCACATGTTTCGTTCTTAATATATTGTCCGATATTACTGATTATTTCAAATTGAAGTACTTATTTCATTCTCAAAACAAAGACTATCTTCAATAAATATTAAGATATACGTCACCGACGTTCATCTGATTTGAGCTCCGTTTACACTAATCATGATATTGAGCGTAGTGTAAAAGGGCCTATATAGCTTATATCAAGTACTTATAAAAGGCTTGATGCTTTGAATGAATGAAAAAATCACTAGTTATTACATTATATATTACTGACAAAGTTGAATTGTAGGCTATATAGCTTAGCAGTGAGGAACAGAGATTTGAAGTTCAATTCATTCTGTGCATGATATGTCCCATTCAACCTATTTAAGATTCTACTCTCAGACTCAGGACCCAGCAATAATGGCGAAAACTGTTGCATATTTGTGAAAGCTGTCGTCTAATATTTCGAAGTCATAACATATAACGAAAATCTAAAATAGATTAGGAAAATAAACATCCTCTAGTTCAGACTGCGAACTTGAATTATTAGTTTTTTGTTAGGCTTAGATTCACATAAGCCGTGATAAGGCGTTAGGTGATCATCAGAGCTGTGTCCAAGAAAATAAAATGAGAATAAAATGAGAAACGTTTTCAAAGAGCAAATGTACATGTGTCATGTACATTAAAGATTAGAAATTCATCGCATGCATGTATATGTATATAAAATTCGTGCATATAGCATTCTAGATATTAATATATAATACTATACATATCACATAATACTTATAATTTATGATGTATATATACCTACTTTTTCATGATATATAATTTTTTCCAAGATATCCTTATAGTCAAAAGTCAAGGACGTGTAGTGTCGATGCAGGTGAAATATTCCGTGACGGTCGAGTCAGGGGGTTTATATAAGACGTTATTCAAAGTTATCATCATCTATATAGGACTTTATTTCAATATCTCGTCCACCAACACAGACTCGGAACATTCCAGAGATATACATTATTTTCGGAAAGTAGACGTCATATTGAACGAATATTTTAATTTTATAGTTTGGCTTGAATTAGACAAAATATGTTTCCAAGCCAAACAGCGACTTAGCTAATCCATTATTCATTTCAAACACATCTTGATAAATGGATTTGCCCAATAGTGCAACAGAGTAGACAAACACAAATGCATATTTAATCGTTTACTCTTTTATGTTAAATATTTCAAGCAGATGTCTTCAAGACTTTATCATATTTATATATTATTGATATCTTGATCCTTAGAGATTCTTGGATCATTTGTATTTGATAAAGTACAGAACAAGCAAGCGATTATAGACATAATAAGAAAGGGTTGAACCATTAATATATCTTTGGCTATAAACTGTACTTAGAGGACTGTAAATACATGCTTTTATAAATAAGAAATTTAAAAGTAAACATTCATTTACTTATATTAAACTGTTATATATTCCATCTAATTAAATAATGTCTAAAATGAATTCGTCTGTCGCATAGACATAGTGAATCATTAACCCACAAGAATTAATTGCAAATGCGTCGTTTTCCCGTCGCACGGCAAAACTTTGCATCCTATTTAAAATACAAAAGGGCAAAGATCATATATAAGCCTTATAAGGTCATGCAATATTATATCACAGTTTCGGCAAATGAGACGTCAGACGGAATTCCAATGGAATATAAAATTTTTTGTTCATTGCTCAATGACAATGAAATGAGGAATTTTTTCAAAACGTGACATGGAATTTTCAGTTTTAACAATAAAATACGGAAATAATACGGAATTTAATGTATTTTTGCGCAGTATGTATAATGTACAGTTTGTCCAACCCTCCATAGTCTATCAAGATATGATGGTCTAGAAACAGAAGTCATTGTGCGATGTTTTTGTCTGAGTTTATGAATAATCTGTGCACGCGGTCACGGTGATTGAGATCATTAATTGTGTTTTCGCACAATGAAGTAATCTTCCAATAGGGATAGCTGAGATGAAACGTGCAACCACGATGAATATTATTTAATGAAGTTGAGACAAAGGATATGTGCACGGTGAGGTCCACTTCAAGAAAAAAGGCCTTCTATTTTGTGGCTTTGAAGTTTCCCGGGTTTCCAGACTATCGTATCTTGACAGACTATTAACCCTTAAAGCCTAAAGGGCTCTAGTGACGCTCAACCGTCTTTACTACTTTTGCCTGACTTCTATACCTGTACTGGAGGTCTCCGCCATCTGATTTGACCTGGGGTGGCGCTTTGTCTCCTTCGAGGAGTGAAGGCTTTGTCAAGTCACTACACTAGCTTGGTCTGTATTAGCCTAATATGTACAACACGCGCACATTTACTAAACTTTATATAGTTAACATTGCATATACGCGGATTATGCTCTCCACTTTCGCAATAAAAACTGTCAAGATCTGTCAACTATACTTGCGTGTTTTTTATCTACAGAGTTCTGGAGTCCGGCCTTCCCCAGAACAATTTTGAAATCTCGAGTCTCTGAAATGCATTGATATCAATGCTGAAATGGCATTCCTCCGTTCTGGGAAGATTTCAAATGAGAACCTCAACGATTGAAACTGATCCTAACCACCCTCGGCAAGAACTGTTTCCAGCCATGACAGCTATCAAAAACCGACTCGTCAGTCTCATCTGCATTTATATAGGCTGTTGGGCTGTTTTGAATTTTTAACTATACTCTACGACTCGATAGAGCACATTTTCAAGATATCTATCCACCTGACTTTTTGAAGTGTTAAGTTTTATATTTAAATTCATGTTTGGTTTTAATTCAGATAATTCAATTCTATAATTCGGTCCACATAATAAATCCTCAATTTTTGCCGACTGAATGCAACAATTTGCCGACTCGTTCATGAGTGTGTGTTGGGGGGGGGGGGAGGTTCCACCCCTCTAACGCCGCCCCTGGATTTGAGCATACGGTTAATTAATATAACTGCAAAAAACCCTGCACATGAGGCCGAGTATTTTGACTCAAAAACTAATTGAATAAAATAATACACCAAAAATGAGTACATTTTCTCATAAATTTGTGTAATTTTACTCAATATTGAGTCACTGTGGGTGCACTATTTCACTCACGTTTTTTGAGTCAAAATGTTTTGCAGTGTATGCTTATATTAGAGTGCTGTCCTCGAATAAGCGCCGCACTTACTGGCTCTTAAGGTGGGGGTCTACCTAAACCACTCGAAAAAATCGATTTTCATTTTTTGAGCTAAATAGTTAGTGTGGCATGTAATTGATGTTGTGAAAGTATTTATTTGGTTGAATTAAAAAAATTGTTCTCTCAGGAGCTGTTTTAAACAACCTCACTATAAGTTTTAGCTTGGTTGCCATGGTAACGAAAGGCAACATCCTTCATATTTTTCATGTTTTTGCTAATATACTGTTGTCCCTCCCCTCCCTAATATAAAATAATAATGCAGGCTCATCTCTAGATGTTTTGCAGCGGATCTACATGAAGATTATGCGCGTGTATGCGTTTTTTCGAGAACTACTGATTCCCAAACAGAGCAAATTGAAAAATGTGTTTCAATATTTCGTAAATATTGATTACTTTTGTGTATATATTTCTTAACATTTGGTTAAAAATAACGGACAATGGTACACAGAAAACATTAAATGAAACATTATTCACTGGGGTAAAGAAATGCGCGATAAAGACGACGATAAAACGTGAACACATTCATGCATTCAATACCAAAGTCAACAGTCATCTTCGAATCGTATTTGGATTCTTGGCATCTTATAAAAAGATATTCAGTTTGTTCTGATGCACTTAGTAGCTGTGTATGGTGAACTGTGGATGTAAGTATTTTTCTATCATTGAATGATTGATTCTACTATATTACTGTATAAGTCGAAATGTTGCAGTATTAAAGGGGCAAATCATTCTTAATACAATGTAATTAGTTATTATTGCAAATTTACAAAATTATATCAAGAGATCAATTTCCTCTACCCAATTTTAGTACAGATATCAATACATTATTTCTTGCTTCAATGTTATAATATTATTATTTTAATGCTTCTTGGTATTAATATTAATGAGGTTGTTTTTGTGCTGCATTTTAGGGACTGTAATCACATGTCAAGGCCTACCAAGTTTGAAAGCTTATTTTGGGCCGAATATGTTTACCGAATGTACCACTTGGAGCAATAGGACAAGAATACAGTTACAGATTATTTTATTTTACCATTGAATCATGTAATTTGGTATTGACAATTGATTGTATACAAAAAAATTGGTAACCGTATTAAAATGTTGGTCTGCATGCCCCTTTGGTAAGCACAATGAGTGCCATCACTGCCGTCTGCATCTTTAAAAATCCTTGTTAGCAGCAAGTGGGTTCAGCAAAGAAAATGATGGAAAATTTAGCTATACAAATTGAGAACTGGATTGGGATGTCCTGTTAACACTCAGGAACATCTTTTAAACCAACCATCAAACTGCGGGAAAACCAAATGGTGATGCAAGACATAACAGCATTTGGACGGAATGGTAGAAAAATCAAAATTTAAAAGGATTCTTATTATAAACAAGTAAATCTTGAAAAAGAAATGACTTCACATGACAATTGATGATGAGGGATGCCCAGCACAATTTTAATTGTCTAAAATATCGAGTATAGTGTATATCTTAACAGTTGGTAGTTCATATTTGATAACTTATACTTTATAGACGTTTTCCCGAAATGTGGTATTTTTCATCTTTGAAAAAAGATAATTCTTTACCAATTTGACCAAACTGGCTGAAATTTTCAGTGTTAATAGATCTCATCATGATAAGTGTTTTCAGCGATAGAATTTGGCATATGTTGTAATGCTGCCATTTTATCGAGGAAATATGCCAGGATTTTTGGAAGAAAATCGAACCAAAATTTTGCAGCAATGTTGTGCAAAAACTACATTCAGCATAAAAAATTCCATCGCTGAAAACAATCTACTTGCTTTGTAGTCAACAAATAGCTCTTAGTGGTAAAATTTCATTAAAATGGTAAGGCTGTATTTTTTCCCAACTAACAGTGATTTGTATGAGACACACACTGTGTTTAATTACTAGATGGCAGGATAAATATTAAAGGTATGAGAAAGACCTTAGTATTTTTAGAATCTATGTCAAATAAGCTTTCTAATGATATATAGTTTTGTATAGCTATCTAAAAAACTTGGCGAGTAATTGGCTTGCAAATGTGGTCAACCGGGATATCGCAAGTTTAGGTAGACCCTCACCTTAAGCGAAATACCGCCAGACGGAATAGCTCTAAAACAACTACAGTACATCTCAATCAGTCTCAAAAATATATTTCAGCTCCTATACACATTACATGCAGTGTTTATAAGTTCAAAGTATCCTATCAATCCTAGTATGAGAAACATTTGTTTTACATTTAATAGCGCAAGTTTATAGCTGAGCAGTAGCAAGTCTGTTGCCTGCCAATTATTGACCTTTCATGCAAAACTTAAACTTAAAAGCAATAACGTGAATCGAAATTAGACACGGCAAACTAATGCAAACAATAAGTTAGTTTAATTAAAGCTGTTAAAATAAGTACAATAAGCAATATAAAGTTAGCATTTCTAATATTGGATCACAATTGCATACACACATACATGCATACACATCAAGTTATTGAAACACGGAGAGAATGAATATATTGAAGACGTTATGCGTTTATGGTATACTGTTGCTGTTTCTATTTCATACTATGGAAGCAGCTGGTACGGTAAGTGAAATAGTAAACCGATTCAATGGAAAAAGTACATCAGCAATGACTGCAAACGCTTCCTAATTGAAGAAGAAACATTCACTGAAATTTGAAGGACGCTGTTACACAGAAAGTGTAAAAAGATTGACTTTAGAAAAAAATACTGGAGGAAAATTATAAACAAAATAAACTGCAAAAGGATTTCATTAGTTCTTAAATTCTCAAGTACTTTATCAAATGATCCTATATAATATCGTTATAGCCCTCACTTATGTCTCCGATATTCTATTTGAAAAGGGTATGGTAATAACTGTTTAGCCTTGCAATAACAGACTTTTTTTTTGTGAACCGTTTTGTCAAATCTATACTTATAGCAGACGCTGGAGTTTTGTAATTATTTTTCATTCGACAGCATGGTAAACTTTTTTCAGGATTAAGATAAAAACGGTGATGATTTGAAGCGAAATCCATTGCCTGAGTTTTGGACAGACCATGAGAGACAATCAGGGGTGGAAAAAATAGGCGAGCACGCGAGCAGTGCTCGCAGGAAATGTTAAACTGCTGCAAGAAATTCGTTTGAATGAAGATTTGCTGTTGAAAATCTGAAGGAAACCTTAACACCCATGTCCCACTATGGGCGCAACAACATATGGTCGACAGACATTATTCCTTCAATTTAAAACCATGGTCAGTTAGAACACTATATGCTTAATATGCACATGCAGATTTAACACAAAAATACTCCGTTGGTCTGCAGGAAATTTTTGTCTCCAGGTTGTGCTCCCAGGAAGAAAATTCTTTTTTCCTGCCCTGGAGACAATATTTCCTTGTTTCAGTAATTAGAATATATTAGCTCCTGTTTCTAAATTGACAATTTTGGTAGCTTTTTCTGAGCTCAACAAAATACTTGCTGCACAAAGTACATAGCATATTTTATGTTGGTAACGTAGATTGAGTCCTATACTGAGTACTGTATATCTCAAACTGGAGCAGAAATTGGTAATTTATTGGTACGTCTGTTCTATAATATTCATGCTGATGCAATGTAAAGAATATCGGGGACCTGTTCTATCTCTTCACGCAGGGATAAAAAATCGATATTGCATATAAGGCATGTAAGGCCCGTATGTTCTAAAAGCTCACTCACACTCAATGAGTGGAGGTTCAATCTTAGCTTCTTTTGAGTGTCAATGCTGTTTTTGAATAGCTGGAGGGTGAGTAGTCACATAGTAAGGTACGACACTAATCCTCCAGCTATTCATAAACAGCATTGACACTCAAGAGAAGCCCAGATTGAATCTTCACTCATTGTGCTTTTAGAATACGGGCGTAAATTTCTGCATGTGGTAAAACTGATCATTGAATAAGTTTAAATAAGGTTGGAAGAGTCTGAAAACGATGTTGGCTTAACCTAAACAAAAGGTCAGTATCCATGCCCATGTTTAGTATTAAATATTTTGGATTTCCGACTCAATTATATTTCATCAGACGTTTCCTACTAAATCGTTCTCCCAGAATTATATTTTGGCCAGACGTATTTTATTGGTTAAAAGAACCGACAATTGTGTCATTTTATAAGCAATATAGCGGTTAGTTTGACTAAATTAGCATTTGGTTAGAGAGAGTATATACACATGGCTAAATATTTTCGCTTCCCTCCTGTCGTGTGGTAACACCGGGCAGCTAGAAGGGACGACCTTAACTGAACTACGGTGGAAAAAACAACTACCAGCTCTCTGGCAGAAATCAAACCTGCGATACTGCGATTCCAGTGCAGCGCTCTAACCAACTGAGCTACAGAGGCCAGTTGTCGAGTTATAAACGCAAGTTCATGTACAGTATTGGTGGTTTGCAATCAATCCCTTGAGATTGACAAGACAAAGCGGCCATGTTGAAGGAAAATACGCTTCAAATACAACAGCTGCTAATAATATTCTTTTGATAGCGTTCCTCCAACATGGCCACCATGACGTCAAGTGCGAACCAAGAATATAAACTACAGTGGTAAGGTGATGCCAATGTAAGGTGTACAGAGGGTAAATATCAGGATTTTGGGCATATGTACAAAATTCACATTCGAAATTTCCATCTACAAAACCCTTCTACAATTAGTGTTGTTATATAGCTAGGGTGAACACCAAACGTGCATGATTGGCTGATTTGTGCTCACGTGACTTCAGATAAATACAATGTTTCCTGCCGGGCATCAAGTGAAAAATTGTTGCCCGCACCGGTCGGCTACGCACATAAATAAACAAAATGGCGGCACAACTAGCGCAAGTAGAAACTACGATTTTCCAAGGGCGCTTTCCATTAACACGGCCAGACCGGTCAGAACGGTCAAATTGTTGAATGGAACACAAAACGGTTGGGCTTCGGACCTATCTGACCGGAAAATTTACATAGTATTAGAATGAGGTCCATTTTCGCTAGATATTTGAGAAACATAGACCAGATCTTTCCATTGATACAGAGACAAAAATTCGGGTCTGACCGGTCCAACCATTAAATGGAAAACGCCCCAAGTTTGTGTTCAAATAAAGAATGTAAAAGAGAAGAAAAATACACAACAGGCAACAGGATATGCTGTTGAAACCGTTTAAGTAGGTTCTTTTAATTTTAAACTCGTTTACACTACAGAGTTTTTGTCACGAAATACAATTGTTGTACAGTATGAATGTTGTTGAATGTTGATTTTTGTTCGTCGCTATATAACAAAACGCTTAATGTCTGTTCCCTCGGGCAATAGTTAGTTTTGTTTTCCCTCGAATCTCAATGTTTCCCTCGACTTGGTCTCGGGAAACATCGAGACTCTCGGGAAAACAAAACAAACTATTTCCCGAGGGAGCAAACATTAACCAATAAGTGTATAATATCGAGTGTAGATGCCCAAATAATAAATATTTACCCATTGTAAACAGGTCTCTTTTACCACTGATACATGTTTTACTTGTTTTACTTTTAGACAAAGATATTTGTTTCCAGAGCACCTCAGTGCCCATATAACAAAAGATGCAGAAGACAGAAAACATGCAGTTGTGAGTCAGAAAACCTTGTCTGCATGAGAGTGTACTGGAGAGTTAAAAAATGCATAAAGATGGATTCACCATTAGCACCTCCAAGAAAAATGCCGCCAAATTTCAACTTCAAAATCACAAAACCATGGTGGTTTCGCAACTCTACGAAAGGTTAAAAAGTGATGTTATTCGAGCGATATAGAAATATTGATAGCTAAAACTTTTTGATTCATACAGTATTAAAATCATGATGCACAAAACAATCTGTATATATTCTTTACTACATGATGAATATTTAACATCAATGTGAACAATTATGACTCATGGACTCTAACATCGTCTATTTTTAAAATCATCTTAACCAACTGAGTAGCTAGACTTATCTGTTGTTTCTTGCCAATAAGTGTCTCGATAACATGTTGATCACGCATATCTGGAAGCGAAGAACAGATTTTAGATTAAAGATTATAGTAGGTCTTTACACAAACTTAGCATAGCAGTGTAATTCAGTCACAAGCATATGATTGGAATGTTTTACTACAGTGTGGTGTCCTGAGCAGGCTTTTAGCCAGAAGGGCCGTCCAGGCGTCCTGGGACGCCCATAGAACAAAAAATGGACGCCTGTGGACGCACAAATTCTGGGGAAAAAGATAAATTATTTTCAATGATTTCCCTAAGTTTAATATATCTGAAACAAAATTATAGCTTCAATTCTCATTATTATTATACATTAATTTGACATTTTGATCAATTTGATGGTGTACCTGACTGAATGAACATGTCATAAGTGAAGAAGCATAGCGGCACGAACTCAGTACTCACAAAGCCAAGTGTGTTTGAAAAATTTCGACTGAACTTGGAACAGATACTGACATGAAGTAACGTAAACTTCGAAGGTTTTCCAGAGGAACGTTTTCTCGAAACCCCCCCCCCCCCCCCCC